GCAGAGGGTAACACGGTGATCTTTCTACAAAATTAATTAGTATACCAAGGACGTACATAGTCTTCCAAAATGTTTTGTCACTGATCTAATAAGCATGATCTCATTACTGTTGCTATCCTCTATTATCCTTTGAATACTGTTGCTATCAGCTACGTTAAAAAGAACATTTATCATTTCTGTACCCTCAGCACAACTGAAAAAGTTTTGTGACTCTAGACTCACTCTTAAAGTTAGTGTGTACAAAAACTACTGAATTTTTTTGAAAAACGCATCACTTAGCACTTCATTAATTCTTTTCGGAGCTCTTTGACAGGTGAATGTATTCCAAAGCTTACAAATGATTCTTTATAATGAAGATGTTGATGCTTCTATGAACGTAATGCAGGTGACAAAATTCCAAAAGACAGTCTCAGTGTTTAATTTTAAAATAAAATTCGTTCACAAATGACACTAAAACATGGTGAAATCATACTCTGCTAACAACCAGCTGAGTGAACCTAATCTCTGGTTTCTCTGAGGCTTCATTCCCTTATTCAAAAACTAAATGTCTGGGTTTTAGCACAGAGTGCCTTCTCTGCTAGGCACTGTGCTGGACATCTGAGGTAAGAGGATGAAGATGTTGCCGTTCCCTTGAGGATTTCATAATTATTGGCATGTATGAATGAGGGAGTTAAATTAGGTAAGACATATATACAGGTCTTTCTAGTTTAAAAATTCTGTGTTGGTAATACGGAGCACATAACTTATTTAATTTATTATTTTTTTTTAATTGGAGTATAATTGCTTTACAGTGTTGTGTTAGTTTCTGCTGAACAATGAAGTGAATCAACTATTTGTATACATATATCCCCTTCCTTGTATTCAGAAATGTATTGATCTAGTCAAGTGCCATTAAACAGAAAGAGGTGAAGCTCATGCTGGTCTAATTTGCTACTTGTTGTAGAGAAACTTGGTGGCTATAATTAATGTTGAAGATTAGGTGAAGGGAATTCTTTGGATTCCCATTATTCATGTTGCCTTTGCCCTTTATTTCCACAGATCACTGATAGCTAGCTGGAGTAGCATAGTGAAACTGTTTTATGGACTGAGAAATATTCTTGGCTGACTTTCAAAGCCACAGTAGGAAACAAAATCCATAAAACTGACATCCTAGGAAATCAAAACCAACTCCAAGTTTAAGAACAAATGTATAATCACTAACATAATGAAATGATTTTATAAAACTTTATTATCTGCTAGAGATAGGCAACACAACAATGGAAAAAATGTTCAGCTATACAAAGTACTGAAATTAGACGTTTCCAAAAGATTAATTTTCTTTTCCCTTCGGAAGTCAAGTCCCTTTTCCAAATTATCCCTGTTCAAAAGTCAGAGTGCTGTGGACTGAAGGGACTTTATGATATCTTAAAAAAGGTCAGGAACCTATAGCCAGTCTAAATCTGGCCAGCCAACTGTTTCTTATTTGATTACATATTGTCTATGGCTACTTTCGCACTGTAGCAACAGAGATGAATAGCTGCAATAGAAACTGTATGACCCAAAAAGCAAAAAATATTTACTAACTGGCCTGTTTCAGAAAAGGAATGCTAACCCCTATCTTAAGGAGATCTCACCACCATGATGGTAATTATTACATTGATTTTATTTTTCAATAGCAAACATTTCACAAAAATGATATTTATTTTCTTTCAGCTCCTGCAATAAAATAAAATCCCCTATCATCTCTTCATATGATTTCTAAATTATAGGCCAACAAGTCATATCCAATTCAAATTTTAAAATGTTTTTCTAGTATAATTTTTAAATGTCATAAAGAATCCCAAATGGCAGGCATCTGAATTTGTTTCTTAAAATCTACCCCCCACACCCCCAATGTCAATATTCAGTCTTGAAAGAGACCTAAAGAAGACTAGCCAAACATATACTATCACCACTCTGAACACAAGCACTACTTATGATAATTTTCTTGGTGCATGCAAAATGCAAGCAAATTTTCATTTTAAAAGCAAGATAGCTACAAATGACCTATGTGTCCTATAACAACAAAAAATAACTCCCAATTCCTAGTAAAATGTTGCATCAGGCCATCTCTCTAAGGAAAGTCATTAATGTCAGCTGGTGAGGATGATTCCAAGATCCACTGACTAGCTGGAACATCCCAGACAGAGGAAGTTGTTCTAGGAATCTCTAGATTAGTCTAGTGGCCATTTCCTCAGTCGGAGGAGACCGGGCCAAGAGAATACAGTATATGGGGAATCACCCTATCCTTCTTCACTTCTGGGGACAGAAGTGTTGCCTAAGACAAGAGTGACTGTTGATTTACTGCCCAGCGTGCTCTCCCCTCCCCACTATAACCCTGAAAAAGGTAAAAATTTAAGCTAGCTGGGAGGCAGGGCAGAATACTAGAACCAACTGTGTAATATCCTACTTTGCATTAATGCAGGGGCCTTTTTATGAATTTTTTTCTTCAGCTGTAAAGCACTTAAAACAGTTTCTAGAATACAATAAGCACTAAATAAATGTTACCCAATATTATTAACTCAGTATAATGCAAATCTCTTCCCTACGTCAGTGCCTTACTCCCTACCATAGTATCCATTTTCCAAAGAGCTATGCTACTTTAACAGCATTTTCAATTTTCCCAAATATTTACAGATCATTAAAGCACTTTGCAAAGGGAATCTTACAACATTTCATGCAACTCACAATACGAAATAAGACAAAAAAATCTTATTCAGAACACCCATAATTTAAATGGGCATACAGAAAAAGAGAAGTAAATATCAGGCTTACTTATTTTTCAAGTCCCAAAGAACTTAAATGGGGCAGGGAAGAGGAGAAAATAGTGGTTGTAAGTAGACACTTTTATAAACATGAAAAATCTCTCTTTCTGAAAGCACAAGTATTTCTAAAGTTAAGCAAATAGTATGTCTATACTCTATTTAATGTGCAGATTGCAATCCTCAGTTTCATGGCTAATTTGAGTAACTTCAAGTAGTCAAAATAATTGACGTAACATGCACAGGACAGTACAGACTAGTATATATCATAATTCATGGCTCAATCTGTTAAACAGCTTAAGTGTGGAAATCCAAATCTTGATAAGAAGAAACAGTCATCTTAGGCACTGTCATTTTTGGACTAGTCATATTATTAGTTGGATCTGAATGTTATCATAGAAAATCAGAAGAAATGAAAGCAATGAATATTCTACAGCCCAAAATTATATAGAAAATTTCTAGCTTATGGAATTTTTAATTTTTCTACGTTTCCCTATGTTACTATGTTTCTTATGTCCCTACATTTCTTTAACAATGTATAGAGTTGGTTTAGTATTTTCGGAATTTCATACTTTTGCTATCTATCAACAGCTGTGCTTTCAGTTTCTAGAAACTGTGTCCAATTCAAATAGCTGAAGAACAAAAATATACGTGTGAAGCTTTTGTTTGTTTTTGTTTTCAGGTTACAGCACTCTAACTAGATAAAACAATAACTTTCTAGGTAATGTTGGCCCATCACACAATTATGGGGAAAAAACAATCAAAATATCATTCTATGAGATTCTTATGGCTATAAAAACCAAACTATATAAGACTTAGTGCAGCTAAAGTACAACTAAAACTCTCTACTTTGGACTATTAACATTACATTTGGTAGTTCAGCCTTATCTTTGTTTTCTGAAATGTCAACTAACTTGACTGAAACTTCTCTATGCAAAGGAAACTACACAGAATTTACCTGTACTTTATCTGAATGAGCCACTGAGGAAGGGCTCACAATATGATGAAGACTACTAGAGGAAATGATATCTAGAGACTGCAAATTATTAGCATCTCTTAATACATTTGCAAATTCCTACTGAGTCAAATTGCCTACAAAAAGTTTATTTCTACCAAGTGCCTTGTCTGGTTTCTCATACCATTACCTTTCAAAGGCATTTTATGAGAACTCTGCTACATATTCCACCTCCCATTTGGTTCATATTTAACAGTGTTTCCCACCCTGTCCCTTTCTAGGCTCCAAAAACAGACGTCTCTGATGGCACATAAATGTGGCAGATCACCCTACTTCAGTAAACTTCTCTGGCTTCTTTTTCTTCTCTTGCAGTCAAGGTGAACTTGAGCTATTTGTAACCTTTTGTTCCATCTCACTTCAGAAGTAATAAAAGGACTCATGAACTCCAACTCATAAAATAACAAGATTGGTAGGTATTTACAGAGTATCAAATGGGTGGGGTAGAGAGCAGGGCAGGCTACCTCCCAATGTTTCCTAGTGACAGTTCATACTCTCATCTGATTAGGCAGCTCTACCAGTAAAGAAGAGAGCAGTATGCCTCTTATCAAATTTAACACTGAGACTTAGAAGGTGCCTTCTGCCATCACCATAATTATCATCAGCAAAACTTTTATAGTCAATGTATAATCAGAGAGTTATGAAGAAAACACACAAATAAACACTCTCCAGCATGAAGTACTTGTACCATGTATTCCTTAAAAGACCTGTAAATCTTTGTACAGAAACAAAAAATCACACTTGAAAACAGTTTAATATATATATATACACACACACACGATATGTTTGATATGATATTATAAATAATCCTCTTTATTGTCTGACATTCAGAAACAAAACTATTAATACTAATTTTTATTCTATTGTAACTATATTTTAGGAAACATGACTTAATCCAGATAATACTAAAATCTGTATAATAACAACTTTTATTATAATTGGATTCTACTCTATCACGTAATTATGCTTAACTGAACTTTATTTACAGTTTTAATCACATGTTAATAAAAACCCAAATTTTGATAGGCAGTGCAGGGGGCTCTCTTTAGATAGTAAACCATAAAAATTAGCTCAAATGCCCCAAATGCATATCAGTCTTAAAAAAAAATTACACATGAAAGTACTATAAAGTGATGATGTGAAATAATTTAATTCCTCTACACTGTAACTGCTACTATTTAATAGCAGTCCTATTAAATATTTCTTACCTGCCCCTTTCAACTGCTAAGGCATCAAGTTCATCAAAGAAAATGATGGAAGGAGCCACTGCTCTCGCTTTTCGGAAGATCTGGTGGAAAGAGTGCTACATTAGCTAAAGATCAGCAAATTCCAGAAAACTCCATAGCTAGTTTTAGTTTGAAAATTATATTTAGAACCAAATCTATTATGTACCAGTAAACCAGCCCAATCACTTTGTATACAACCTGTAACAGATGTATAGCACTTCATAATGGATGTAAAAGTATCCTCTTCCACGGTGCTTACTTGCAAACAGAGACAAGACACCAACACATATTCTTAGAGGTGTGTAGGAGACAATTTGGTTAAGTAATCAAACAATCTCAGTTAAAATCCCACCTTCACCACTTGGTAGCTGTGTGACCTTCAGTGGGTAACTTTATTTTTCTAAAGTACGATTTCCACATCTCTAAAATGGAGATTATGAAAAATGCCCGCCTCAGAAGTTTAAGAAATGAATTAAAAAAGAATGCAAAGCACTTAGTATAATGCCTGGAACATTTATCTAAATAAACACATATTTAAAAGAAAAATCATAAATGTATAAAATCAGCCAAAGTTTAGCATATACAATACTCATAAACCTAAAAGTCACACACTTTGCTCATTTCTCTGAAGACTGTAAGGAAAAAATAGCTAAAACTTGGAAAAGCATAGATAGGTTAGATCTGAAGTCAATCAGACTATCAACATCAAAGACTGGCCAGACAGCCACGGGGAAAACATGTGGAAATGGGCTAGAAAACGTCAGCATAAGCAGAAAGAAATCCAAATGTGTGTAACCTGTAAACTAGGCCTCCATTTTCTGGCCACAAGTATGATGACCATAAAAATACACAACAGTCACCAAAACCTTAATATTAATAAACACCACCTTTTTCATATTTTAATCAATGAGGTGCTATCATTATCAGTTAATGTTTTATATTATAACCAACATCTACATTTCAAGAAAAAAAAAGAAAGAAAAAGTTACTTAAATTTTTTTCTCAGATGCAAAACAAAGTATTCCAATCTCTAAGACTCTTGGTTGATACCCACATGTGTCATAAGCAGAAGACCATCCGTTCCACTGCTGTTTATGTCCTTGCTTAGCTTCTTTGAGGATACAGGGTGCCTGTGTGAGGCAGGCCAATCTTTGCTTGGGAGGCCGAGACTTGTGATCAAACTGCTATAGTTACCCCCACGTCAGTGCCTTGATTTTGCATGAACTTCCCAGTTATGTAGCTTCAGCAATATGGATTAGCCAGTAGGCCAATCAGGCACTGGCTGTAAAATTTAAGAGGGGAGGGGGATGCACTTTCTAAATCACCAGTCAAAGGTAAAGTAAATAAAATAAGAAGAGTACAGTGACATTTTCATATACTAATAAGCTTATCTGATTTAAAGGGCTACCTGGTTTAAAGGATTTAAATCTCATTCTGACATCATGCATTCTTTGTTAAGTTTAAACATATCCTTATTTTTTTTAATGAAACGCTGACATTCATTAAAATATATTTGGTAAAACTAAAGGCTGGAAATATTATGATGTTTAAAAGCAAAAACAAAGAATTGTAGATGACCAAAATTGCATTTAAAAATAATATTTGCCTGAAGAAAAATTATACCACTAGAATTTAGATTTGGAAACTTCAAAATCTATAACCCCAAACAAAATGGAAACCATACAGGACAGAAGCCTGGTTCTCCTATGCAGAGTTCCACTTTAAGACATAATCTTCTTACCTCTCTAACTGCTCTTTCAGATTCACCAACATATTTGTTCATTAATTCAGCCCCCTGAATGAAAAGAAAACAACTGTTCAGTGTCTTTATAAATCCAAACACATGTATGTCCTTTCAATAAAAGAGAAAATACACACATAAAAGAAAAAGAGGAAAAAAATAGACAAAAATCAGCTTTTAATTAAAACAGTTCCTCTAGCATGCTTATTTTTATTGGGTGTTATTTATGCCTCAAAAATTAAAGCCATTCTGTATTCCAAAAACTACACATCAACACAGTGACTGTAACTAAACATGATAGTTTAACATCTCATTCATCATCTGTCTACCCATCCATCCATAATTTTACCATATATCAGGAATGGTGCTAGGCATTGAAGATAGAACAGTCTGATACTAGATCAACAGCCCTCTCTGACAAGAAGCAAGACCTCAGGGCTAATTCTTTTTATGACTCCATGATAATCCCTGAAAATGGAATGGGAATCACGGAATCAATGACATTATCTTAGTCCCTGAGTACTTCCAAAATAAATGATACTTTCCAGCTCCCTCCTCTCATTTGACTTGGCCATGTAGACGCTGACTTTATGGATCTGCAGGGTCAAACAAGCTCTTCTCAGCCACTATCCCAGCCAAAGGAGATAACTCCTGCAGACAAAAATCTTAGAACCACCAACAAAGCTAACCCTCAGTCAGTGTATCACATTGTGAAAATGACAATGACCCTTGTTACCCTCCATAGTGTCTATTCACTCAGCCTCTGTCTGAATCTCCCTTCAGATATCTGCCACTCAGCACTTCATCCAGTTGATGGGAAATCTCTTTTCCCTTCTATATCCAGCTATTTTAGAATGGGTACCAAGAAAGAAAGGTGTGGACTTCTAGTAATAAAATCTACCAGTTTTTACTAACCGGCCATCAACAGAAGAATCCTCATAAAAGTGGCTGGACTCCCAGCAATAAAGCACCTATCACTGATTCAAAGATACACTTTTTTTTGGACATTCAACATTTCTGAATAGTAAGATTTTTCTTTCTCAAGTACCTAAAATATTATGTATAGTATGAAATGGTAGGCTTTCATTTTTACCACACACCTATCTACTTTCTCATGCTAGTTATCACATCACAAGAAGTCATGGGATTAAAAAACAAATAAATAAAATAATAATAATAATAATGCTGTCCTGGGAACCACAACTCTTCCCTTCAGATACTGGTATAAAGTTTATTTTACAAAACGCCAGATGTCTTTCTCAGCTATGGGCTTTCACTCACTGTTCTTCCCAGCATCTGGCTTCTATTGACACCCTTCCCCACACAATTCCAAACCCATTAGACATGTACGTGTGTGCTTCTTTCTCTGCACACGCATGCGTGTATGCACACACACGTACACACACACACACATTATTTTGAACAAGATTCATGTTCTATCCCAGGCAAATTATGGGTCCCAACAATTTACGGGATATAACTAGACACTAGCTTGAGTATTTCCGAAACAAAATACACCAATTAAATAAAAATCGGACTGACTGAAGCACACAGGCAAACCCTAGCAGAATGTCAACTAATGCTACAAATTGGTACAGGCAATAGTTAGCTTCAGATAAGACACCTTATTACAAAGATAGCTGTTATACTATATAGCATGGCAAGTGCTAGGATAGAGGGATGCTTAGGTGCCACTGAAACATAGAAAAGCAACTGCTTAGAGTCAAGGATGTTCCTAGAGAAAGTAACATTTCAGGTGAGTGTGCAGTTGATTTACCACCCTCAAAAATATGAAATACACCAAGACCCAGAAATAAATCAAAAAGGTCTCTGATGAGCTAAAACAGGTGTTGATATGCACTTTAATGGTAGAAGAGGTCTTAAGATTTTAACTTAGAGTTCACTGACTTTTTCAGTTATATACAAGACTAACAAACTTGAGTTTGAACTGATCTAAGAATTTATAACAGGTGGAGCTTAGGGGGCAGAGAGAATGCAGCAACAGTAAGGCTACTTAAAGTGGGAGGCAGGAGCATGTCAAAAACAAGTTTAAACTTTATCCTGTAAGCAATGGGAAGAGTCTTAGGGGAGTTAACTGATAATAGGTGTATTAGGGAAAGATGATTCTAGACACAATATAAAGGATGATTGGGAGGAACATATGAGACCAGAATGGCAGTTATGAAATTCTTAAAACAGCAAAGGTGAGAAATGATGAGGCACAGGCTTAAGGTAAAACAATGGAATGGAAATGAGAAAACAGCCACATAAACTATTTAAAAAGATAAAATCAACTTAATTTGTTGTGAGTAGCAAGATGTGAAAGAGAGAATAAGAGGGAAGGAATACTAATTCAAATTTGACATACTATTTCTGATGTTCACAATGAGTTAATTCATGAAGGAAAAAAGGATGCCCAATATATTCAGTGTAGCAACTCTCAGAAATATATATCTCATTAAAAATGGTCCATCCAAGATGATTAAAATTAAAAATTTTGTAATCATGAACATAAGTGCTAACGTTTACTGAATATTTCCTATGTGCCATGAACTGTTCTAAGCAATTTATATATATATTAATTCAGTTATGTAAAATGACAAAGAGATGCAGAGCTACTATGATGACTTTCCATCTGTGAGTAAATTAAAGACCCACACAAAATCAAAGGTAGGGAAGATCAGAAACAAATATCCAGCAGCTTAATTTCTTTGCTGACATATAGAGACATTGAATCATTCATTCAAGGAATATTTATTAAGTGTCTATAATGAGTTTATGGTTTAATAGATTACTAAAATAATCTTATTCTTAAAACATAACAATAATTATATTCTTAAAAAATAAAAATACAGTGAGAAAAAAATATCACAACTATATAGAGAATGCCACGAAGAGAAGCAAAAGTAAAACAAAGATTCCTTCCAGGTAAAGGAATCAAGGAATAATCCTGAACAGCAATGAGATCACAACTATGTCAGGTCATTTAGAATGGAAGGAGGGAGTTAATAAACTAGGATAGAAAACTAGAAGCTAACATAAAGGAAACGGTCAGATAGAACATGGAAAGAGAGTTTCTGGAAGCACATGGACAAAAAAGGTTTCAGGGCAACATGCTGGGAATAACTAGGTGTAGGGTGAGAAGGGCAACACCACAAGGGACAGAGAAAAGGCAGTGTAAAGTCTGGGAGCCATGGGGTGGTAGAGACGGGGAAAGCACAGAAGGACGAGGGGACATCAGTACAGGGGTTTGTGGTGGCAGCCACCTAGCATGAGATGTCAGAGATCAAGAGGGTTACGGAGACCTTCCCCACAGAGTGGGGCTCACCATGAGGTAACACTCAGAACTTAGTTTCTAAATTCTCCATCCAAAGGTATGCAAATTGCTTTAAGAATCTTATACATAAAATGGTACAGTATTATTTGAAGGTAAATTGTAAATTAAGTGTGTATACTATAAATCCTAGAGCAAGTATTTTTTTAAAAAGAAAAACCAAGAGGTTTAGCTATCAAGAAAATAGGGGAGATAAACTAGAATACCAAAATATACTCGACTAATCCAAAAGAAGGCAGGAAAAGGGGGAAAAAAAAGAACAGATGGGATAAATGAACAAAAATTACGGGCATAAAAAAGTCTTTCAAATTACAAACACGCCTGAGGAAAGGAAGATAATCTTTTAATATTTTTTATACTACCTCTACAATGGTGCTTCAAAAATACTGAAATTTTATAATATGGTAACAAGTAAATAGATTAGAACATATGGGGATCAGGGTAGAACAGTCAAGGATAAGAGTAAGAAAAGGATAGGAAGAATAACTCAGAGTTCAGGCTGACAAAATCCAGCTGCTCCAAAGATACTGCCATTCATCATGTTCAGCTGAGTTATCTGATAGCATCAATACAGAAATCCTTAAGTAATGAGAGGGGCAATTTTACCTTTCTGCCTGATTTTCTGAGTAATCTAAGTTGATGCATTAGTAAGTTTTATATAACATTAACAAGGTTAATTATGTTCCCCTCTCCCCCCAAAAGAAAACTCTCATCTATTTCTTATGTGTGTTTTCCTATTTTCTTTAAAAATAATCTTTTCAAAATTATTTCAGAGTAATAAATTATACATACTGTAAAAAAAAATTAATATTTGAGGCTAATTAGGGGGCAGATGCATGAAAAGCATAACTAACATTTAAAGGTACTCCTATATCTGACTGAAATTTACCAACAACCAAGGAATGCATAAATTATCTGTAAGCAAACAAAGTTATTAAGAAAACTTGCTTTGGACAGTGCTTTTGATGACTAAATATTATTTACAATTAATATGTCAACTGTTTGTACATCGATACTTAAACTGTCTCCAAGCAATCATATTTACACAACAGAATTGTTTTGAAGCTAACTTCCCAAAGATAACTACAGAGTGACCTCATCACCAATGATTTAATTATCTTAATTTCTTAAATAATACAATCCCAAATAGCTTTAACTTGAATAAAGACAAACAATGAAACATTAGTAATGCTGAGACACAACATTCTCACTTTTTAAAGGATAAAGAAATAGCAACAGCTTAATACCAAACCAATTTTACAAGTTTGGTTTTAGACACAGGTTAGACTATACAACAAAAACACAAAATTTATACTCACAACTATCAGTAAGATAAATAAACCTGGAGGCATTTTCCCAAGTATTGTGGGATTGAGGAAGATAAAATGTAACAGGCCAGAGAGTAAATATTTCAGGCACTCTGGGACTCATACATCCTGTGTCACATATTCTTCTTCTTTTAAACATCCCATTGGAAATGTAAAGTTCATTCTTAACCAGAGGGCTAAATTAAAATAAACTGTAAGCTGGATTTGGCCCCAAAACTGCAGTTTGCTGACTGCTGATCTAGATTAATCTCATACAATTTGAAATAGTTCATTTCTGCCAATGAGATCAAAAGTCACCAAAAATATCAATGACACAATTGCTGAGTGAAAAACCTGGACTTCAAAACATTGAGAGAGGGCTTCCCTGGTGGCGCAGTGGTTGAGAGTCCGCC